AAAAAAAAAAAAAAAAAAAAAAAAAAAAAAAAAAAAAAAAAAAAAAAAAAAAAAAAAAAAAAGAAACAAAAAAAAAAAAAAAAAAAAAAAAAAAAAAAACAGAAATCGAGGCATAAATAAGTAAACAGCAAGTCGCTTATTTAAAAAATGGCACGGATTGGACAAGTCGTTTCTAAACCGTGATGTGGTCCAACCTTACTTAAAAATCCTGGGTAAATGTAGTGTTTCAGATAAAAATTTAGGTCAGAGAAAATAAATTAATCAATTTCTGTCCCAAAAGCAATTTCGCACATTCTTCGGCAGGCGCGCTACTACACTGAATTTCAACCCTACGGTGGACTTGGCCAGCTCTATTGATCCAGACCTCTGCGTTATTATTATACAGAAGTTGCGCTTTGCCCAGCAGCACTAGTATGCTACTGCATTTGCGTCAGATCTCGGGCTGCCTCTTAGCAGTCTAGCTGGATGTGTCTCAGTCCGGGAGCTGAATATCCCATGGACTGAACTGACAAAAATGACAATAAATTCAAAATCAAAATGGAACTACAACTGGAGCTTGAATTAAATTCTTAAGCTTGCTGAAGTAAAAAATGGCGCGAATAAAGTGAAATGAAACTTTAACGCATCTTGCGCAGTGTGACAGTACCACACAACGCATACTGTCACGCATCTGTCTGTGCGCTCGTGTGTTTGTGTCTGTGTGTATGTATGTGTATTTGAGTGCGTTTTGTCCCGCACTTTTAACCTGGGAACCAAAAAAAAAAAAACTAGGAAGCTGAAATTTTAGAATGTTCCCCTCCCCTGCTCCTTCCCCACCCACCTCTCCCCTCAACAAGCGCAGTTCAGGAAATTAAAAAATTCAACCTTCACTTATGCCTGGGTACCATGAACGGCGTCGTGAAAGTTTCGACAAAAAAATTATTATTTCGAGAATCAGAAGAGTCAGGAGGCCGAGATTCAGGGTGATTTTTTTTGCCTATGCCGGGATCTCATAAAGTTAAATTTAGCTCCATGCCTCGGGAATAACATACTTGGAATTAGCATGGTAGATAAGTGATGACCGTTGTCCAGTGACTTGTAGACCACAGATGTTACAAGTTCGTGGTGGCCTTGCGCGCTTCTTGGCTTGCGATGATGCCCCTTCGCTTCCGACACTGCCAGGGAAGCCACTTGATAAGTCAGCAATTGCAGCTGGTTCACAAATCGCAGCCTGCTCTCCAGCACAACTAACACCGCTGCAGCTCCCGTTTGGAAAAATATCACCCAAAATGCCCGCTAAACAGAAGTTTTTGAGGCATGCATTTCCACAGTGTTTCCACAACCTTACAGAACTTCCGTCATCCAGACACGATTGTAATAAAAAAAAAAATAACGTAACTAATGCCACACCCAAAAAGACAGATGGTAAGGCGGAGCTTTTTTAACGAGCGGCCAGCAAAAACTTGAAAAACCAGAAATTCAAACTGGTTTTAGCTGGACTAAAATTCTGGCAAGATAATGAGACTTTTGCAAAAAAGAAGAAATTTGAAAAATGTTAAACTGGCAAAAATGTGAAAAGAAGCGAGGTCAAATGTAAGAAATCAGGACCACTATTTTTAACTATTTTTAACCGCAGTACATAGGAAAGAAAAAATTACGACAGTTCTGAAACGAAGTAACGCAGAGTTTTAAAACGAACGTAAGAAAAGAGATTCTGTAGCTATTTTAAGATTCTTCCTTGCACAAAGCTGAATTAAATGTTTATTTCAGACCTGTGTTTATTTGCTTTTCAGGTTTGTTGCAAGTAAGAAATTATTTGAAAATGTTTTTAAAATCATAAAAATGAAGACTGCGAGTGCAACTTATAAGTGATATGAAAGATAAGAAGCAAAAACTGTATTCGTAATTCTGACCGATAGCCATCTGCTCTTGGTTCTGTTGCAACGGCGCATTGGTTGCCGACTGAGCACTTGTCTGTGCTGTTGGCTCGGATTCCTTCCCAAGCATGTTCTCTTCCGGCTCTGCTTCGCTACCCTACACAGACCATTCAAAATCACTCAGACAAGCTCAGATGCTTTAGAATATTTTTTCTAAAAAGTACAGCAATACAATCCCTATTCATTCGTTACAATTTCTGATGAAGCAGCAATAGTAAACATGTAAAAAATATAGAATCAACTCGAAACTGATCTGCTTTCTCCTGCAGGCAAGTCACCCTTTTCAGAGGAAGGAATGCGGTGGTTCTGCCACCTTTTGGCTGCGATGAAAAAATGAGTGATAAATTGGCGGTTTTCTAGTAGCATCGCCGAGGAAAATCGGAAAGTGACCGGTTCTTCCCTGTATCGAGTTTCGAACTATTTGACTACGTACAAAAGCAGAGCAACAAACTGTACATCACCCAAATTGAAAAAAAAAAAAAAAAAAAAAAAAAAATCGAAGCGCCTAACCTTAACATATTCAGTTTTCTGATCCTTTACAATTTCAGTCGTTCGAATCGCTTCGTCGGAGTCCATTGAGCTACAAGGCGGCGGTGCTCCACAATTGGGAAGCAGCGATGGATCAATCGCCGAATTTCTGAAACTTTCTCTTTTGGGGCTGAATTTTTACGTGAAAATCTTGAATTATTTAATTTTAGAATGACCATACCGAACTTCAGTTTAAGCTTTTGAGAATTCCGTTGCACAAAAGTTTTTAAGCTGAATTTAAATTTGAAAAATACCGGTATGCACCAAACTGACCATGTATTTCTGCAATTCAGAGTGCAAAAACACGCGGCATTTATAAATATTTCAGCCCTATGTTCTAAACTGGCAACCCACTTTCTGCTGAAACTCTGAAATTAGTCTAAACAAAGCAAAAGTATGTAACGCTTACAAAAAATTACATAAATATACATATGTATATACGTACATATGTGTATACATACGCACATATATATATATATATATATATATATATATATATATATACATATATATATATATATATATATATAT